GCCCCCCGAATCTGCCGACTTCCTGTACACAACATTGGGCATACCGTTCACGACGTCGTCTCCAGAATCTATGCCTGCCGTCGGCGAATCTGAGGGTAAACCTGGATTCATCGCTTAAGACGACTCGATTCCAGTCTCTCTCGGTCCATCGGAGGTGACGTTGGGCCCACAGCAGACGTTGACGTTGATGAAACGGCGTCAATATTGGCCCACGATATGGACGTCGAGAATGGAGACTGGCAGCCCACAACCGATTTCGAATGGTCTGTGAGGACAGTCGACCTCTAAACATCTCAGCCCTGGTTCGTGTAGCCGGCAGAAATCTGTCACGTAGGTGACGTAGGACGATTTGACGGTCTTCTGCTCGTGTCGTCACACGTGGACGACCCGACCTTGGGCGATCAGAAGTGGTGCCAGTTTGTTGTAGACGACCTCGCAAGTCATACACAGTACGACGGCTGCATCCCATTGCTCTTGCGACGTCAATAACTGATCTTCCCGCTTGCAACATGCCAACGGCACGTTCACGTTGCACATTTGACAATCGTGGCATTTCAAGTACCGTTATAACTGTGGTTTAAAAGTGTTTTTTCAATTCTTGAGGCCAGTACAAACACGTGCATATGAAGAAAACCTCGGTGCGAAGATCACGTGATCGACTGCACGTGCAAAACCTGATTTGGCACTAACGTCATTTGCACGACGAATGGATGGGTTTGAGTGGGTTTTGCTAACGTTTTTCTAGAGTCGAAAGATAGGGATCCCATTTCGGATACATAAATGTATCATCAGAGAAAAATTATTCATTATTTTTCAAATTACATTTTGTGAAGTTTCTTTTTTGACTCAGTATATTTACCCTACCCCACTCCACCACCCCCTTTTCTAAGAACATATTCAAAACAATCGGTATGCAGAGTAGACGTATTGAATAATGTTTGACTATCATCTTGTATCTCGCACAAGAAAAGCGGACGAGGCTATTGTATCGATGGGAGCATGCCCCTAATCCGATCCGTTCCGTATGACTAGTGGCCGTATGAGAAATGGGCGTATGACTAATGGGATACAACCACTCGGGTCCGAGTCGAGTCTGACCCCTCGAGTACACGAGTCAAAGAAAATGAATTCGTTGAAGCCCAATTACAGTTGGATAAATAAATCTCAGCCGTGCAAAGCACAGCCTGCCTCACTGTGTTAGACGTGTAGTTGTTAAGGGGCGTCACAGTCGGGTATAGGGCAAATGCTGTTCGAACGCCCAGTAAAATAACTAAGAAAAACCAGAAGGCAGGAATGAATGACTTACCCGAACAGTCTTATGTCTACCACTTCTCTTCTGCGTGTGCTGTGAAGCGCTCAGTTTTTATATGGTTGTCAACAGTAGCGGGAATACCCATGACGTGAGCTCCTCATTAAATGTTTAAGCTACGTTGCATCATGTGGCAGTTTCCTAAAGGGGCATCCATCTACCAGAAACCGTTCAACTATGAGCATCTGGGTCTCGTGTCGTTACCAGTGACTAAATAGCTCGTGACCCACACAACTGCTCCGTGTAGCACAATGATTTTATCCACCTGACACTAATCAGCGTTCGAAATAGCTGCTTGTCCGACCACCCGGGACGGGTTATTTTCAACACGACCTGCCAGATTCTCAAATTCACCTGCCCGACGGTCGGGTTAAAATTTAGACATGTACATGAAGACATTTTGTGGGCAGGTAAGTTTTGGTCAGGGCTGGCAAGTTTTACAACTAACCAACCCTGTGGTCGGGCTGAAATTTTTGGAGTTTCATACACTGCACTAATCAAGTTTGCAGAGAGACGTAAATCGAACATGGCCTCTGATGGAATAGCAAACAAAAGAGACTTCGACATATTCAGACAGATTCACCCAAGAATAGAGACGCACTCCGCATGGAAGCTGTGTAAGCTGTACCCCCATATTACAGTGCACACTTCCATGTTCTACTGTGTGTCTCTGTCAGTGAGTGAGTGAGTTTTACGCCGCACTCAGCAATTTTCCAGCTATATGGCGGCGGTCAGTAAATAATCGACTCCTGACCAGACAATCCAGTAATCAACAGCATGAACATCGATCTGCACAACTGGGAACCGATGACATGTGTCAACCCAGTCAGCGAGCCTGACCACCCGATCCCGTTAGTCGCCTCTTACGACAAGCATGGGTTACTGAAGGCCAATATTCTAACCGGAACCTTCACGGGTCGTGTGCCTCTGTGAGGAGCTCGACATCAGATGTACTTATCTTTTTACTCACACATTGTGAAACTGACCTTCCTTAATTCCAAGTCAAGGCCATTCTCTCAACAGGGATGCAATGTCTATTCCCTATTCGCCTACCTGTTTTCTGTAGGCAAAAAAGGATGTAGGCGAAATGGGACTCAACCATCAGATATACTGTGCCATAAGTGAGGACTGTTTTACGACAATGTAACTGTACATGCAGTAACAGGCTGTGACCTCACGATGACACTCCGCGACAATCTCTGGAAAGAACTAGCCAGTATAGGAAGTCTGGAGTTTAGTGTGTATCTGCACAATATATCAGATCTGGACATTAAATGCATACTCCCAGCTGCTGGGAGTACAGCCCTTCTGACACTCTGGGTAATGCAGAAGGCTGCAGTGTTGGGGAGTCTACATATTCTCCGGAAAGTTCTACTAGGCAGTGTTTCCTGGGAGAAGTCCCATTCGCTGTCTGGGCTGCTTGTAGAGGGTGCGAGGGTCCTGAGCTGGTGATGAGCCTTACCAGTCTGACTGTGCCAGGATCACCCAAACCCTCTCTTCTGCATTTTCATCTTAATCTGTAAAACATACTTTATTTATAAATACCCACTGTGGAGATGCTCAGTGGCGCTGTGGCAATATTGAGGAAGGAGATGGTTCATATGTGTATTACAGAAAGGCAACAGTGAACAGATGGGTATTTAGCTGAGATTGAAAAGTTTTGATGAAGTGCTCGCGATTTCCTTTGGATGAGAGTTCCACAGTGGAGGGCTGGCAAAGGTGAAGGCTGGGTCAGACAGTTGGTTTGGAGATATGTGTTGGGTGAGGAGAGAGTCAGAGGAGGACTGGGGATTTCGTTGGGGTACATACACGAAGACGAGTAGTTTGAGATAGTCGGGAAAGTTATTGTTGTAGAGGCAGTCCAGTCTAAGTAAACCTCGGCTCAATATTATTCGTTACACTGCTATACTGAGTCTAACAAAACCTAGTAGAAGGTCGCGTTAGCTAACCTTTAGGACTGACCAATCAGAATACAGCTTACCAAATCGCGAAAGTTAACATTCGCACATACCGTTTGAACCTTTACCTAAAATACTCGAACGATTCCGAATTGCTATTTTCCACACGATCGCTTCCGAGTGATACACGCAGTGAGTAAACAGTCACTAAAAATAGCGTGTTTGTCAATATTCAAGGATGTCATCTTGCTAAAATATAAGCAAATAGTAACCATGTCATCAGAAACCCATAAGCGTCATTCGTGACCAACTCGTGTTATTCCAGGACAAGCCGAATAGCGTCTTCTTGGAGGTTACGGAAAGAGGCGAGTGATGACGAATGGAGGTTATGGAAAGAGGCGAGTGGTGACGAATGCCATAAGCGTATATACTGCAGGTCAAATATCTCTGTTTTGTGCGGATTTTTGTTTGTTGATGGATCAGTGTCAGCGATCAGGGGAAGAAAAATCCCAAAACCGTTTTGTAAGTTTACTTAGACTAAAAGGTAGTCATGAGTCAGAAATTCTTGCAGAGATGGGGAGCCCGTGTAGAGACTGTAGTACTGGGTGATATGGTCATGACGAGGAGTGTGGGTGATACATCTGGCAGCGGAATTTTGGATATTAAAAATATTTTTCGAACCGAAACGAGGGAAGCACGTTGCCAACATTTGCTAACTTCGCTCGCATATAGAAAAACTGGTAATTTTTCCTCTCTGCTGCGCAACCCAATTGCTCATGCTGTTGATCACTGGATTGTCTGGTCCAAACTCAATTAATTACAGACCGCTGTCATATAGCTTGAATATTAAGAACAATGCCATTTAGAAAGTGGTCAAATACAACATATGTATACCGCTCAGCCACACGGTGGAAGCCGCGGTGGTTGGGCGTGTTGGGCGGCTGACTTTGTGTGCTGCCGACTAGGTGCCTGACTCTGAGGGTGTGGGATCGAATCCTGGATGGGACTCAATAAAAGTACTAGAATCTGTACTTTAGGGAGAAAGTGGAATCCCAATATAACATATGTTACAGCTGGAATATTGCTGAGCGGCGGCGTCAAACTAAACTTACTCACATTATACATTAGAAAACACTTGTATGAATGTCAACGTCTTTATTTAGAATACACTGTTGAAGTTCGCCAAAAAACATCGATTATGTATCAAAGCTTATTTTGCATCAAATATTAACTTGCAGATTGGACAGTAGGATGTGTTGTTTTGTGTAGTTCAACATCATGGTAGATCAAATGAAAATGTTTGAAACATCAGGACAAAAAGGTTTGAAATATACTATGTATTAGAAACTGTGATCGTGGGTCACATGGATGTTTATTTGCGACCTGTAACCAGTTGACATCGTCAGTTTCTTATCTAATTGTTTTCGTCTCCTTCACGATTTGGCTCCTTGCACCCGCTGGTGAAGTAGCCTACGGCTGCCCCGCCTGCGGCCATTGCTACCTTCGTTCCTACAGCTACACCAGCAGCCCCTGTGACAAGACAAAAGTATTTCATAATGCAAGATAATGGCTGACAACATATATTTGATTTACCAAGGTCGAATAAAAATGTAAGAATGTTATTAATGATTATGTGATTAATTAACTAGGAGAAGCTCCAAATGTACCTGCAGACTGTGCTGCTGCAAGGACCCCCGCTCCCACTCCCGTCGTCGCAGCTGTAGACATCGCACCCGCTGCCATGAGCCTGCTGTAATCCCTGTTCCTGTGAACCCTATTCCTGCTAGCCCGACCCCAAGGGCCCATGGAGCAAATACCGCACCTACTACTGCTCCACCAGCAACAGCGGGGACCCAGCACCACGGGCTATCCAAGAAACTCTTCTCCTTGTCCTCTTGAATAAATATTTCATGCATTAGGATTCTTATTCTTCCAAATTGGTATTCGGGGCTAGGTAGAAGGTCAAGATGACAAAACTGACGACCTCGATCTTACATTTCAGCCACACACGCCAGTTCTGGGAGTGTTAGTTCACATTGTCTGTATTCACTGTGTTCACATTAGTTTAAGAATGGAATAATCATTACACATGCCACATGTTTATTTATAGTTTGTCGTCAGACTGACAAACGGTGACGGTTAAGCCCACGTTTAATCAAACGTGCTCCCCTGACCTTGACCTTATAGGTAACCGTAACATAAGGCGATAGAAATCTCATCTTGAGGATAACGTTTATTAAGAGGCTGGTACACCTTTAACATATTCCATTTATATGACAGATATTTTGCCATTAAACTCGCTCGGTTGAGAACACCATTTGCGGCAACCATGGTCAAATTTGAGCAAATACATTCTGCATTCCCATTTACACCCCGACTTTGTATCTGAGAGAAGCTGAAGTACCGTCAGTACAGCCAAACATTGTCGTATGAAGAAGCTGAAGTACCGTCAGTACAGTCAAATATTGTCGTATGAAGAAGCTGAAGTACCGTCAGTACAGCCGAACATTGTCGTATGAAAAGCTGAAGTACCGTCAGTACAGCAGAACATTGTCGTGGGAAGAAAATAAAGTACCGTCAGTACAGCCGAACATTGTCGTGTGAAGAAGCTGAAGTCCCGTCAGTACAGCCGAACATTGTCGTGTGAAGAAGCTGAAGTACCGTCAGTACAGCCGAACATTGTCGTGTGAAGAAGCTGAAGTCCCGTCAGTACAGCCGAACATTGTCGTGTGAAGAAGCTGAAGTTCCGTCAGTACAGCCGAACATTGTCGTGTGAAGAAGCTGAAGTCCCGTCAGTACAGCCGAACATTGTCGTGTGAAGAAGCTGAAGTTCCGTCAGTACAGCCGAACATTGTCGTGTGAAGAAGCTGAAGTCCCGTCAGTACAGCCGAACATTGTCGTGTGAAGAAGCTGAAGTTCCGTCAGTACAGCCGAACATTGTCGTGTGAAGAAGCTGAAGTACCGTCAGTACAGCCGAACATTGTCGTGTGAAGAAGCTGAAGTACCGTCAGTACAGCCGAACATTGTCGTATGAAAAGCTGAAGTACCGTCAGTACAGCAGAACATTGTCGTGGGAAGAAAATAAAGTACCGTCAGTACAGCCGAACATTGTCGTGTGAAGAAGCTGAAGTCCCGTCAGTACAGCCGAATATTGTCGTGTGAAGAAGCTGAAGTCCCGTCAGTACAGTCGAACATTGTCGTGTGAAGAAGCTGAAGTGCCGTCAGTACAGCCGAACATTGTCGTGTGAAGAAGCTGAAGTTCCGTCAGTACAGTTGAACGTTGTCGTGTGAAGAAGCTAAAGTACCGTCAGTACAGCCGAATATTGTCGTGTGAAGAAGCTGAAGTACCGTCAGTACAGCCGAACATTGTCGTGTGAAGAAGCTGAAGTACCGTCAGTACAGCCGAACATTGTCGTGTGAAGAAGCTAAAGTACCGTCAGTACAGCCGAATATTGTCGTGTGAAGAAGCTGAAGTACCGTCAGTACAGCCGAATATTGTCGTGTGAAGAAGCTGAAGTACCGTCAGTACAGCCGAATATTGTCGTGTGAAGAAGCTGAAGTACCGTCAGTACAGCTGAATATTGTCGTGTGAAGAAGCTGAAGTACCGTCAGTACAGCCGAATATTGTCGTGTGAAGAAACTGAAGTGCCGTCAATACAGCCGAATATTGTCGTGTGAAGAAGCTGAAGTACCGTCAGTACAGCCGAACATTGTCCTGTGAAGAAGCTGAAGTACCGTCAGTACAGCCGAACATTGTCGTGTGAAGAAGCTGAAGTACCGTCAGTACAGCCGAACATTGTCGTGTGAAGAAGCTGAAGTACCGTCAGTACAGCCGAACATTGTCGTTAAGAAGCTGCTTCCTAACGGAACATGACAGGTGGTTGTGAGGGTCCACTTACCTGTGCCACGGACGCTCAGACAGCTGATGAGGAGCAGATAACATACGACGTACGTTCGCAACATGTTGTTACAAGTGATTGTAAATAGTCTGTAGATGAAAGACGGCAGAGTTTTAGTAAACAATGTTTAACTTAAGCATGTGAACATTTTTTATATTACACAACATTTCGGAGTATATCCTCACTCCTTCATTCACCTGATGTAGGGGTAAGGATATACTCCGAAGCGTTGTATTCCTCATAATAAAGAAGTTGTCAGCCATAAGATACTCTCCTCCTGACGCCTTAATCATCTATGTAAACAAATATGAACATCATTCTCTACTGGCTGACAATCAACATCTTAATCTCCTACGTAAACGACGTATGTATATCCTCTCAACTGGCTTCCAATCAACCTACTTAATCCTGTATACCATCTGTGTTTTCAACCTCTTCTATTTCATAAACAACCCATTTTCGCCTCATCCCTCATCTGTTGTATAAACATCACATGTATATAATCACCCAAATTACTTCCCATGTACCACTTGCTTGACAACGACATCAGAATCTATGTCGAAACGTCGCCTATGCAGAATAAATAAGTTGTATATCGATAAAAAAATGTCCTCATTCTTCATTCCACATTAATTAAATATCGATGACATCTTCATTTTATCACATTTGATCACGTGAATGTACCCGATAATGTCCCATATCTTCCTTCGCCATAAAGTGGGTTTGGCGGAAATTGTTCGAAAGCCCAGGACCCGGTTGTATCAAACTTTAATGACGCATTAACGTGCCATTAAACGTTCATTAAGTAATGTATCATTAAATTCTGTTGTACTAACGTTTTAATGACGTCGTGTTGTCATTAGTCATTAGCGCGTCATCAACTTAATGAAGGTCCTGGGGTATCATTAGAGCGTCATTAAACTTACTGGAAATGAGTGAGTGGGTGAGTGAGTTTAGTTTTACGCCGCACTCAGCAATATTCCAGCTATATGGCGGCGGTCTGTAAATAATCAAGTCTGGACCAGACAATCCAGTGATCAACAGCATGAGCATCGATCTGCGCAATTGGGAACCGATGACATGTGTCAACCAAGTCAGCGAGCCTGACCACCCGATCCCGTTAGTCGCCTTTTACGACAAGCATAGTCGCCTTTTATGACAAGAATGGGTTGCTGAATACGTATTCTACCCCGGATCTTCACGGGTCAAACTTACTGGAAAAGTGAACATTGCGCCAGAATTGCGTTTGCGCCGCACTGGATCTACCTACCGCAATAAAATTACACAGACATGTAGAGTATTAAATGGCCTATCTCATGGTATAAACTCGGTTTGAAAAGTAGACACTGCTAAATGTTACTCCTAATTTTGTTATTCGTTAAAAGCAGTAAATTTCTCTGCTTTTTATCGTGCACTGATAACAGTACTGTGCTACTATATTTTCAATTTGGCATCTTTACGGAAAGTGTGAGCGAACAAAATTCTGCCTGATACCTGAATGACATAGGTATGTATTAAATTAGTTTGTGTTCTTATATATAACGTTATACACTCAATCTTGTATATGTGTTGAAAATGGATTTTCCCCTATGACGTCAAATGGCTACTTAAAGGTCATGTACGCTTATAAAGACAAGGGGGCCTCACTCCGCTATGCTTCATACCAAGTCATTGTAACTCAGATCTCTTGGCGAGAATTTGCTGTGAATAAGGACACTATATTTTCGTGATGCTTTGTTCACGGAATTATCGAAAACAATTATACTCAAAACATTTGTGACAAACGCGCACCTGGCCAATGATTATTCGCCATTGTTTTGTCTATAACACAACATAAACAAATTCAATGAACAAGACATATCCTTTAAAACGTGTGCACATATACATTTCATGATATAAATAAATCATATTTATTTATTGTGTCAGTTTTACTTAGGTTTAAAATACTAAATGTTGATAATGAAGTTAGTTTCATAAAAACTAACTTCGATGTGAACGATACGCAAAGTATATACATTAATAATAAAAGTGTAATCCACAGGACAGTGTGATTGTGTTTACTCTTATTCAACCGACCTTCATCTCAAAGAAATTGCCGCATATGTCCAACAAATGTTGACATCACTAACGATGACAGATTTCTCATGAAATGGCGGCTTGGTGGATATGGGTGCCCACGATTTTGCGAGGGAACCTTTGTCCATAAATGTATGCTGTAAGTAATCGGAAACATTCTGACTATCTGCGTATGGTTATTTGTTTTTATTGTTTTCATTGAAAAAGTCAGAAATGCCGATAATTGCCTATGTGGTTCACCATATTTCCAAGAATAAGATCAGAAGAAGGCAGTGGTTGACGAAAATACGGAGAGATCCTGGAAAATGATTCATAGTAAGTACAAAATAATTACGGCACATGACATAGTCTAGATCTGCCGTGTAATGTGCAATCTGTTCACTATGCAAGGTTTTAATATCAGGGGCACATGTACAATGTGAATGTCACACACACACAGACACATTCAAACCCCACCCCCGCCCCCACCCCCACACATTGTCATGTTCAAAATCAGTGATCACCCCTAGTTCATATGTACACAATTGACCCTCCCCCCAAAAACAAACTGGGAGACACCCCAACCCCCACAAACACCGCACCTAAAATCATCATCACCCCCTTAGTCATAAATTATGAACGGTCCAATATATTAAAAAAAATTAAGCATATGGACATGTGCAGACACTCTTGTCATGATGGCATGGGAATTTTATTTGCAAATATTCTGTATCCGTGAAATTAGATTGGCTGCAAATCAAAGTAACATTTCAAGTACATATACATGTATATATGCAGGACATACACATGCTGTTAAAAAATCTTAAATATGTATCTACTTTCAAAATTACTGCATACTGACCAGTACTTCAGGGATACAGGACATATTACTGGACAATCTAATTACACCAACTGAAATATATTTAGTGTTTAAATATCCATTTCAGATGCTGCTAATTAAGAGTCAGAGAGCATGTCACCAGCTCAGGAACCTCCCATAAGGAATCTACCACAGTCACCATCTCAGATACAGTAAGAATGTCAGATCGTATTAAGTTAATATTGCCAACTGACATGGTTTTGAAGAATTTAATACAACTGAACTTTGACCTATATGCTATGTTATTTACATATAAAAATATTGATTGCCCATACTGTCTAAAATATGAAATGATGTTAGCCTCTATTCCTTGATGTATATTTGTAATTCCCAGTGTTTTCGCTGACTTAATTATGTATCGGACACTGTGTCTGGCGACCTAAAATGTTACCGGACATGAATGAAATTTGCCGGTCATATCCTGTTACCATACTGTAAGTACTCATTTTAAAGTTATTTTTAGCCTGGGTATTTCCAAAACATAATAATTTTTGCGACCACGGAAGCACAGCCAAGACTGTCATTTCGCTTACCCATGATTTTTTTATGTTAATACCGGTACATGATTATTTACCGGACACAGTGTCCAGCTGGCTTTCAATTTACCGGTCCCTAACAAATTTTCCTATATACCAGAGAACGGAAACACTGATTCCAGAGATATATTTATTGTTTGTGTGGTCGAAGAGATAATACTGATGCTTTACAATGCTTATATTACAGTGAAGCAGAGAGTGATACAGCAGCCACTGACCCCCAGTCCTACATGGAACAACTCCAGCAAACATTACATGAACAGGGGAGGCAACTCAAGGAAAAGGATGACAAAAAAGAAAAATTGAACAGAAAACTTGAACTTGGAAAGTTTGGAGTTTGTAAATTCATGTATGATGATAAAAATTGATTGAACATTTTACAGTATTCCATCATTTCAAACATTGGCACTGATTAGCTGGAACTTTTTCATTTGTTGAATATCTTCCCAGGTTTTGTGAAGTACCTTGCCCAAACAGCACAAAAATTGACAGACATGAATGTAAATGAAATTGTTTGGTGCTTTTGTGTTGTGTAAATGATGGATGAAAAAAGAGACAGCTGTAATACATACACATTGATGGATTTAACTGAATAATAGAAAGGTGTTTCATAATGGCATAGTTGTAGATGTAACTCATTTGCTGCTGTTTAATTAATAACTGATGAAAAAGAATGTATTTCATCCTGTTTGAAAAGTGTTAGTTGGGAATCAGAAAAAAATATCATTCATAGGTAAGAGATTATGATAATGTGTAAGGGCAGAAAACTATGATAAATTATGCATTGATCCAGCTGTAATTGTTGCCATTTATGTCAGACTAATCTAAAAGGATACTTCTATCAACATAAATATTGCACCCAATATATTTTCAATTTGCATCCTCTGAAAATTTTATTGTTATTCATCAGTATTACAGTTGGAAGCTATTGTGAATGTGTCTATTGTTATTGGACTTTTCAGACACCATTTCAAATTTTCTTTTTATTAACTGCACTCCAGGTGTTCGTTATTTATTTGGGTTAATTGTTTGCTGTAGTGTGAATCCTGTTATGTTAATCTTATGATATGTTCTCCTTAAAAATGTCTTCAGTTACAGTGGAACAGAATAAATACACCTGATCTACAATAAATCAATTTTATGGTATAGTAACACAGTATTGAAAATTGGTTCAAATATTCCCCATGCAGGTACCACTTGTCCATTTAGGTAAATTAATTATTCACCTCCAAATCAGTCAAGAAAAAACTTGAAAAAAATCATCCGGTTTTGTCTTGCACATTGTGTCCCACCAGAGACCATATAATAGATTGAAACCAGGAAGTATACATTGAGATTTGTCGCCATTATGCGATTGTGTCCTTGCCCCATTTAGCCTCGTTTTGGTACAGATATGAATATTCATGAGGCCTCATTAAGAATGGTCTATCCAATATGGCGGAAAGCTCACTTCGGCGTTCGTGTTCATGTATTTTCCAAAACATCCCAACCGATTCTTGATTTATCGGCGACGTTACAGAATTAGTTAGACGTGTTTCTTCACAGCGGCGAAATATTTGTTTTTGTTCCGAGGTTTAGCCGTGTTTACGTCGCGGAATTGTGGGAAAAATTTAGGATTTAGGATAAATCCCCGGATTTAATGAAAATATTTACATTAGGACGTCATTAGATAATGATACGCTCATAAGTGTTTGATACAACCGTTTTTAACGTTGCCATTAACTAATGATGCATTAAGGATTTAATGTATCATTAGGGTTGACATTAGTTAATAAAGCAATGATACAACTGCATCCAGTACAATAACTAAGAAAACCTAGACGGCCAGTTTTGATATGAAACTGACTGGTAAGGAATGAATGACTTACCCGAACAGTCCTATGTGTACCGTCTTCTGCGCGTGTTGTGAAGCGCTCGGCTTTTATATGGTTGTAATACCTGTGACGTAAACTCGTCAGTCAATGTATGAGCTACACGGCTTCACGTGGAACTTTCCTAAAGTCTACCAGAAACCGTTCTACTTTCACTTTCGTTTCTGGAAGTATGTTCTTTTTGGTCTGTTGACGTCATTAGTCATAGAATAGCACGATTAGTCATAGAATAGCACGTGACCCTCACAGCTGCAAAGCTTGGGGGCTGGGGGGCTAACAATAACCAATGTAGGGCGTAGAACTATACTCATGCCAATAATGGTTGCCACCCCCTAGCCTATTAATACAATTGAAGGGGGAAACAGCCATTATTAGCATGAATATATATGTACTGACACCAGCCTGGCATTGATTCTGTTTACACAGACATAGATCGATCATAGCCTCCTACATACCTTTAGACACAGCAAGGATTACTCAGAGGGGGCGGCGATTTTGACCGAAAGGCAAGGCGACCCGCATGGGTCGTTAGGTTTGCATATTTAATTTGTGCATGAATTTGTGAATTTGGAATTTGGAATTTGGTGTTTTTGGACAAATGCCAGGTTCATTCTCCACTAAATTTGAATACAATGTATGTACGTTATTTTTGTGTCTTGGTGTCACTAAGAACGTACATGCTGGGTTTGATGTGGAACATTGTTTCTACCACATGCATGATAACCCTATACTTGATGCTATGAAAGCTAACTTATAGCCGGATGTAACCTTAACTTTATTTGTCAATATTTCTCGTGTCACAGGTTACATGTAACACAATATACACGCTCTGTTGGGTTGTTTACCTGTTGCTGCAAGCATTTACCTGTTGCTGCAAGCATTTAGATGTGGCTAAACATTGCATTACACAAGTCTATGAACAACTGAACAGAAAATCAGCTAAGTTAGGATTTGTTCCACTTCAATATCCATGTCTTTAAATACCCAATCAGATCTCTTCCACACCCCAGTTAAGAAATATATGGAAGGGGCTTGTGCTGATAAGGGACTTGTGTTGGTTATAATGTTGTTAAAATTGTTGCAAAAACAGTCAATATATGTTCTAAAAGTACATTGGGTAACGCATCTGGTTTTATTATAATGGACGGGCTGACTTTACGGTATCGAATTATTATGCTGTATATCACGTTTGGTGGGCATTAAATTTGGATACATTACCACTGGGACTCATAGATTTATTGTTTTGAAAAAGAAATGAAAAGATTGAGAAGTTTTATTTGGTCGGCTACTCATTCACAGCGTGCAACTTTCGTCGAGAATAAACCACCAAATATATATGCTGGAGTCGGGCGTGTCTGGGCTGAGGCTCGCCAACGTTATTGATAAATTAGTTATATACTGTATTAGCAATGTCCATACAGTTGTCATTGTCGCCATCTGTGACTATATGCATAGTTCCGACCGACGCTACGAAGCCACGCCTACATTGGGTACTGTTGCTTTGTCCCCCAAGTTTTACCCTTCACTGCTGCCCCTGTCAATGATCCAGTTGACTCATACTACAATTATGAAAATTCCCACGATGTGCTCAGTGTCTTGATAGTGCGTGACTTATGAAATGCTCAACTCCCAAAATAACTTCAGCTGTACTTTACTGAGAAAGGGTAATCCAGAATATACCTATGAGCTGAATAGCACCTAGTATTGATCCAGAGGCGTAAACATACCACATGCTGCAATTGATCATTTCTAAAAGGCATTGTATATTCACATTAAATTTCATAGGAAACTGTCAAGACGTGCATTTCAATATGCCTACATAGCTGACAATTTCACATCCGGGTACTACATTTGCGTGATTGTACTGCCACGGGTGAGAGCACAGAAGCCAGGGTGCCTGGACTTCGGAGGATATCCGGTCAAGCTGTACGGAACAGGTTGAGAGAGATTGGACTGAGAGCCAGGAGACCCGACATCGGGACCGTGCTACGTGGTCACCATCGCGCTCAACGTCTCCGTTATTTAAAATTATCCACTTGGTTGTATAGACATTAACTTCTTCTAAACTGATGTAAAAATTCATTGCTGAAAGTCTATTCGTGGACGAGTTATACATGTTTGAAAGTACAACATTTTCGCAACAGTAATGGATGCAGGACGTCACAGGTCAGAAAGGTTAAAGGTCACATGCAACGTAAAACACAACTTTGTAGATTCTGATACCTTTCGGTAGGGACTTACCGAAACAAATCGTCAAAAATGCAAATTCAACTTATAAAGTTGAAAAATAACGCGATGAAAACAACCGCGCGAAATCGTAGTTCAAACGATTCAGTAATTTCCCCCCAGCGTTTGGGGGGAATTCAAGTGGTTTCAACAGCTGGGCTGCGCTCATAGCACGTGCGCAGTGAAATAGGGTTCGCGGAGCTTGGAAGCGGGTTGTCCGGTGAATACTCGGTGAAGGCTTTGGTGTGAGCTATTTTTATAATTTTTTGCTGATATCTCACAGGCGTCAGCTTTTTATATGTTATGACAGTAAATTAACTGTTTATATAATTTCATTCGTCTATTTCACCACACGTTCTTCTTACCGAGTCACTTTCTCAGTTCGATACTTAAAAGCAATGCCATTATTTAGCGTTGACAGAATTTCTAACTGTGATATAGATATGTCGTTGTCACAGACTAAACTCAATGTCTTGTTTTATTGACACCTGTGTGTCTGCCTGCCTGTCTGCTAATGACAATATTCAATACACAGCTGCTATCACTGACCACATGCAATTTGAACTTAACACCAATCAGGCTATACACCATAAACAAAATGCATTGATTTATGGCCCGAGTTCGGTCTCTGTCACATTATGTAATTACACAGATGCAGGCAGGTATGATACTTGAACACATGACATGTTATGATGTCTGTTGATTGCAAAATGTTATACACAAAAATGAGCATGTATTTACAAAACCCAACATCTCTAAATAAACACACACAATGAGCCGTGAGGACAACTGCAAATGAACCAGCCGTTACACTTGAGTGCACACACACCCGCTCTGACTGGGTTCGGTATCCCGGCTGCTTCGTTTCTTGGGAAGTAAACCCAAGTACACAATATTGCACTTTTGATTTGCGATTGTACTCTTATAATTTTGTTTATATGTTTTTTCATAACCAGCAATGTATATTATATGTCATGAATAAGTGATAATTGTGTTTTAATTATGTTTGATTTTTTGGTTGCATGTGACCTTTATAGGTCACATGCAACGTAAAACACAACTTTGTAGATTCTGATACCTTTCGGTATGGACTTACCGAAACAAATCGTCAAAAATGCAAATTCAACTTATAAAGTTGAAAAAAAACGCGATGAAAAAAGACGCGCGAAAAAGACGCGGAGTTCAAACGTTTCACTAATTTTCCCCCGACTTTTCAGGGGAAAACGGGTTTCAACAGCTGGGCTGCGCTTATAGCACGTGCGCAGTAAAGTAGGTTCGCGCAGCTTGGAAGCGGTTGTCCGTGAAGGCTTTGGTGTGATCTATTTTTCTAATGTTTTGTTGATATCTCACAGGCGCGAGCTTTTATATGTTATGACAGTAAATTAACTGTTTATATAATTTCATTTGTCTATTTCACCACACGTTCTTCTATTATAGGCATGAGATTATTGTACTTGCTACAATAATAGATATACAATTGACATTATTAATAAAAGGTGATTGGGAGGTGATAAGATACTAATTATGAGAGGATTTGATAATATATTTAAGATGTGAAGTGATTGATAACGTTGTAAGGTGGGAAGTCAGTAGCAGAGGTAATAAACATGAAAGTAGGTCGTTGGAGCTGATGGGGGCAAGATGAGGTGACTCATAGCTTAGGTAGGAAAAAACTACTACACTATCAAGACGGAGCGGCGTGTCCGGGACCTAGCTACCAGTTCTTGGTACTCTACGAGTCATATATGGCTAGGGGAGAGAGACTCTGAGATTCCTGGAATCCACCTCACAGTCTTACAAATATGGTATTGGGGGTACGAAATAGAGGTGGGGGAGAGTAATAGATAGTCAGGTTATGGGTTATTGACCAATAGAAAAAATGGGAAAGGGTGTTGGCTGTGACGTAGGAACCCAGCTTTAAGCTGGAGCAAAGCTCAGAGACGAGAGAGTGGTGCGAGACCTGAAGCCGAGAACGAGTGTGCTCCTAGGAACCCCAAGCCTGGGGTCTAGGGCGCATCAGCTCTCATCTGATTGTCACTAACTTTCGTACTAAGAAACAAACTCAAAGCACCAGCATTTCGACTGAGACTGAAGCTTCCCAGCTGAAGTCTTCTAATTATGTGACAAATAGAGTGGGTTGGACCAGCAACGCAGTGTTAATAAAACTGTGGAACGAAGATCATCGTCTTGTGGTTGCTGGAGGAACTACGGTAAAGGTCCAAAGGGCCCTCGGGTACTGACACGGTACCTCTCGCACATCCCTTATCGTCAGGACCGAAGTACGAGGGTATACCGTAGTTCCGGTAAGAAACGCCCTCCCAGGTGTGGGATAACTGACAGGTAACGCAACTACCTGGCAGGTAAAAGGGCTGGGTAAATTAAAAAACCCTTTGGATACTTCTTACCGAGTCACTTTCTCAGTTCGATACTTAAAAGCAGTGCCATTATTTAGCGTTGACAGAATTTCTAACTGTGATATAGATATGTCGTTGTCACAGACTAAACTCAATGTCTTGTTTTATTGACACCTGTGTGTCTGCCTGCCTGTCTGCTAATGACAACATTCAATACACAGCTGCTATCACTGACCACATGCAATTTGAACTTAACACCAATCAGGCTATACACCATAAACAAAATGCATTGATTTATGGCCCGAGTTCGGTCTCTGTCACATTATGTAATTACACAGACAGGCAGGTGTGATACTTGAACACATGACATGTTATGATGTCTGTTGATTGCAAAATGTTATACACAAAAAATGAGCATGTATTTACAAAACCCAACATCTCTAAATATACACACACAATGAGTCTATTTATATCATTGAATTGTCTGTCCCTTTTGACAGCAATGTGATTGGCAAGATTCAGGAAAAGCATACTAAGTATGCGGACCTCGCCTTTGAAATGTCTTGCGTGCATCCCAAGTACACTGTCGTCAGGCTCCCCATTGTTCTCGGTTCCCTAGGTTTGGTACCTCCTGATCTCCTGATCAGGAGAGTGCCCAGTTTCTCCACTGGGAGTACAGCCCTTCTGACACTCTGGGTAATGCAGATGGCTGCAGTGTTGGGGAGCCTTCATATTCTCCGGAAAGTTTTTAACTAGTTAGTGTTTCCTAGGAGAAGTCCCATTTGCTGTCTGGGCTGCGTGTAGAGGGGGCAAGGGCCCTGAGCTGATGATGAGCCTTACCAGCCTGACTGTGTCAGGATCACCCGAACCTTTTCTGCAGCATTTTCATCTTTAATCTGTAAAACATAATAATTTATAAATACCAACCGTAGAGATGCTCAGTGGAGCTGCGACAATATTGGGGAAGGAGGTAGTTCATATGGGTTTTTACAGAAAGGCAGCAGTGACCAGATGGGTTTTTAGCAGGGATTGAAAAGTTTCGATGAGGTGTTCCTGATTTCCGTTGGAGGAGAGTTCCACAGTTGAGGGCTGTCAAAGAAGAAGACTGTCAGACAGTTGGTTTGGAGATCTGTGTTGGGTGAGGAGAGAGTCAGAAGGGGATCGGAGACTTCTTTGGGGATACACGGAGACGAGATGTTTGAGATAGTCGGTAAAGTTATCGTTGTAGGGGCAGTCATGAGTCAGAATGAGGATTTTGAAGGTAATTCTTGCAGAGATGGGGAGCCAGTTTAGAGACTGTAGTACTGGGTGATATTATCATGACGAGTAGTGTGGGTGATACATCTGGCAGCGGAATTTTGGATATTAAAAATATTTTTTAAACCGAAACAAGGGAAGCACGTTGCCAACCTTTGCTCGCCTATAGAAAAACTGGTCATTTGTCTCTCTATTGGGCAACCCTATTTGCGCTACAGTTTGCCCGTGCTTGGATAACACATGTCATCATATTCCAACCGCGTAGATCGGCGTTCATGCTGTTGATCACTGGATTGTCTGGTCCGGACTCGACCATTTAGAGACCGCTGACATATAGCTTGAGTATTAAAAACAATGTCATTTAAAAAGTGGTCAAATATAACATGTATACCGCTCAGCCACACGATGGAAGCCGCGGTGGTTGGGCGGGTTAGGCGGCTGACTTTGTGTGCTGGCGACTAGGTGCCTGACTCTGAGGGTGTGGGTTCGAATCCTGGACGGGACTCAATACAAGTACTCAATAAAAGTACTAGAATCTGTACTTTACGGAGAAAGTGGAATCCCAATATAACATATGTTACAGCTGGAATATTGCTGAGTGCGGCGTAAAACTAAACTCACTGTACACATTAAAAAACACTTGTATGGATGTCAACGTCTTTATTAAGAATACACTGCTGAAGTTCACCTAAACAACATTGACTATGTATGAAAGCTTATTTTGCATCAAATATTAACTTACAGATTGCTAAGTTGTTTGGACAGTTGGAAGTGTTGTTTTGTATGGTTCAACATCAAATTCAAGGTTTGAAATATACATGTGCTATTTAATAGAATCTGTGATCTTCGGCCACATGGATGTTTATTTGCGACCTGCAACCAGTTGACATCGTCAGTTTCTTATCAAATTGTTTTCGTCTCCTTTTTAACAATTTGGCTCCTTGCACCCGCTAGAGAAGTAGCCTATGACGGCCCCGCCCGCGGCCATTGCTACCTTCGTTCCTACAGCTACACCAGCAGCCCCTGTGACAAGACAAAAGTATTTCATATTGCAAGATCATGCTGACAACATATACTAGTATTTGATTTACCAAGGTCGAATTAAAAATGTAAGAATGTTATTAATGATTATGTGATTAATTAACTAGGAGAAGCTCCAAATGTACCTGCAGACTGTGCTACTGCAATGACCCCCGCGCCCACTCCCGTGGTCGCAGCTGTAGACATCGCACCCGCTGCCAGGGAGCCTGCTGTAATCCCTGCTCCTGTGAACCCCATTCCTCCGAGCACGGCCCCAAGAGCAAATGTCCCGAGTACCGCCCCTAGCATAGCTCCACCCACAAGAGCGGGGCCCCAGCACCACGGGTCATCCCAGAAACTCTTCTCCTTGCCCCCTTGAATAAATATCTCATGCATTAGGATTATTATTCTTCTAAATTGGTATTCGGGACTAGGTAGAAAGTCAAGATGACAAAACTGACGACCTCGATACTAAATTTCAGCCACAAACATGCGAGAACATTCTAGTTCTGGGAGTGTTAGTTCACATTGTCTGTATTCACATTAGTTTAAGAATGGAATAATCATTACACATGCCACATGTTTATTTATATTTTGTCGTCAGACTGACAAGCGGTGACGGTTAAACCCATGTTTCATCACCTTATAGGTAACCATAAAATAAGGCGATAGAAATCTCATCTTGAGGATAACGTTTATAAAGAGGCTGGTACACCTTTAATATATTCCATTTATATGACAGATATTTTGCCATTAAACTCGCTCGGTTGAGACCACCATTTGCAGCAACCATGGTCAAATTTGAGAAAATACATTCTGCATCCCCATTTACACCCCGACTTTGTATCTGAGAGAAGCAAAGTCCCGTCAGTACAGCTGAACATTGTCGTGTTAGGAAGCTGAAGTACCGTCAGTACAGCCGAGCATTGTGCTGAAGAAGCTGAAGTCCCGTCAGTACAGCCGAACATTGTCGTGTGTAGAAGCTGAAGTACCGTCATTACAGCCGAACATTGTGGTGTGAAGAAGCTGAAGTACCGTCAGTACAGCCGAGCATTGTGCTGAAGAAGCTGAAGTACCGTCAGTACAGTCGAACATTGTCCTATGAAGAAGCTTAAGTCCCGTCAGTACAGCTGAACATTGTCGTGTGAGGAAGCTTAAGTACCGTCATTACAGCCGAACATTGTCGTGGGAAGAAGCTGAAGTACCGTCAGTACAGCCGAGCATTGTGATGAAGAAGCTGAAGTACCGTCAGTACAGCCGAACATTGTCGTGTGTAGAAGCTGAAGTACCGTCATTACAGCCGAACATTGTCGTGTGAAGAAGCTGAAGTACCGTCAGTACAGCCGAGCATTGTGATGAAGAAGCTGAAGTACCGTCAGTAAAGCCGAACATTGTCGTGTGTAGAAGCTGAAGTACCGTCATTACAGCCGGACATTGTCGTGTGAAGAAGCTGAAGTACCGTCAGTAGAGCCGAGCATTGTGATGAAGAAGCTGAAGTACCGTCAGTAGAGCCGAACATTGTCGTGTGAAGAAGCTGAAGTACAGTCATTACAGCCGAACATTGTCGTGTGAAGAAGCTGAAGTCCCGTCAGTACAGCCGAACATTGTCGTGTGAAGAAGCTGAAGTACCGTCAGTACAGTCGAACATTGTCGTTTGAAGAAGCTGAAGTACCGTCAGTACAGCCGAACATTGTCGTCTGAAGAAGCTTAAGTCCCGTCAGTACAGCCGAACATTGTCGTGTGAAGAAGCTGAAGTACCGTCAGTACAGTCGAACATTGTCGTTTGAAGAAGCTGAAGTACCGTCAGTACAGCCGAACATTGTCGTGTGAAGAAGCTGAAGTACCGTCAGTACAGTCGAACATTGTCGTGTGAAGAAGCTGAAGTACCGTCAGTACAGCCGAACACTGTCGTGGGAAGAAGCTGAAGTACCGTCAGTACAGCCGAACATTGTGATGTGAAGAAGCTGAAGTACCGTCAGTACAGCCGAACATTGTCGTGTGAAGAAGCTGAGGTCCCGTCAGTACAGATGAACATTGTCGTGGGAAGAAGCTGAAGTACCGTCAGTACAGCCGAACACTGTCGTGTGAAGAAGCTGAAGTACCGTCAGTACAGCCGAACATTGTGATGTGAAGAAGCTGAAGTACCGTCAGTACAGCTGAACATTGTCGTGTGAAGAAGCTGAAGTACCGTCAGTACAGCCGAACATTGTCGTGGGAAGAAGCTGAAGTACCGTCAGTACAGCCGAACATGGTGATGTGTAGAAGCTGAAGTACCGTCATTACAGTCGAACGTTGTAGTGTGAAAAAGCTGAAGTACCGTCAGTACAGCCGAACATTGTCGTGTGAAGAAGCTGAAGTACCGTCAGTACAGCCGAACACTGTCGTGTGAAGAAGCTGAAGTACCGTCATTACAGCCGAACTTTGTCGTGTGAAGAACCTGAAGTCCCGTCAGTACAGCCGAACATTGTCATGTGAAGAAGCTTAAGTACCGTCAGTACAGCCGAACACTGTCGTGTGAGGAAGCTGAAGTACCGTCATTACAGCCGAACTTTGTCGTGTGAAGAACCTGAAGTACCGTCAGTACAGCCGAACACTGTCGTGTGAGGAAGCTGAAGTACCGTCAGTACAGCCGAACATTGTCATGTGAAGAAGCTGAAGTACCGTCAGTACAGCCGAACATTGTCATGTGAAGAAGCTGAAGTACCGTCAGTACAGCCGAACATTGTCGTGTGAAGAAGCTGAAGTACCGTCAGTACAGTTGAACGTTGTCGTGTGAAGAAGCTGAAGTACCGTCAGTACAGTCGAACGTTGTCGTATGAAGAAGCTGAAGTACCGTCAGTACAGTCGAACGTTGTCGTGTGAAGAAGCTGAAGTACCGTCATTACAGCCGAACTTTGTCGTGTGAAGAACCTGAAGTACCGTCAGTACAGCCGAACACTGTCGTGTGAGGAAGCTGAAGTACCGTCAGTACAGCCGAACATTGTCATGTGAAGAAGCTGAAGTACCGTCAGTACAGCCGAACATTGTCATGTGAAGAAGCTGAAGTACCGTCAGTACAGCCGAACATTGTCGTGTGAAGAAGCTGAAGTACCGTCAGTACAGTTGAACGTTGTCGTGTGAAGAAGCTGAAGTACCGTCAGTACAGTCGAACGTTGTCGTATGAAGAAGCTGAAGTACCGTCAGTACAGTCGAACGTTGTCGTGTGAAGAAGCTGAAGTACCGTCAGTACAGTCGAACATTGTCGTGTGAAGAAGCTGAAGTACCGTCAGTACAGCCGAACATTGTCGTGTGAAGAAGCTGAAGTACCGTCAGTACAGCCGAACATTGTCGTGTGAAGAAGCTGAAGTCCCGTCAGTACAGCCGAACATTGTCGTGTGAAGAAGCTGAAGTACCGTCAGTACAGCCGAACATTGTCGTGTGAAGAAGCTGAAGTACCGTCAGTACAGCCGAACATTGTCGTGTGAAGAAGCTGAAGTACCGTCAGTACAGCCGAACATTGTCATGTGAAGAAGCTGAAGTACCGTCAGTACAGCCGAACATTGTCGTGTGAAGAAGCTGAAGTACCGTCAGTACAGTTGAACGTTGTCGTGTGAAGAAGCTGAAGTACCGTCAGTACAGTCGAACGTTGTCGTATGAAGAAGCTGAAGTACCGTCAGTACAGTCGAACGTTGTCGTGTGAAGAAGCTGAAGTACCGTCAGTACAGCCGAACACTGTCGTGTGAAGAAGCTGAAGTACCGTCATTACAGCCGAACTTTGTCGTGTGAAGAACCTGAAGTCCCGTCAGTACAGCCGAACATTGTCATGTGAAGAAGCTTAAGTACCGTCAGTACAGCCGAACACTGTCGTGTGAGGAAGCTGAAGTACCGTCATTACAGCCGAACTTTGTCGTGTGAAGAACCTGAAGTACCGTCAGTACAGCCGAACATTGTCATGTGAAGAAGCTGAAGTACCGTCATTACAGCCGAACTTTGTCGTGTGAAGAACCTGAAGTACCGTCAGTACAGCCGAACACTGTCGTGTGAGGAAGCTGAAGTACCGTCAGTACAGCCGAACATTGTCATGTGAAGAAGCTGAAGTACCGTCAGTACAGCCGAACATTGTCATGTGAAGAAGCTGAAGTACCGTCAGTACAGCCGAACATTGTCGTGTGAAGAAGCTGAAGTACCGTCAGTACAGTTGAACGTTGTCGTGTGAAGAAGCTGAAGTACCGTCAGTACAGTCGAACGTTGTCGTATGAAGAAGCTGAAGTACCGTCAGTACAGTCGAACGTTGTCGTGTGAAGAAGCTGAAGTACCGTCAGTACAGTCGAACATTGTCGTGTGAAGAAGCTGAAGTACCGTCAGTACAGCCGAACATTGTCGTGTGAAGAAGCTGAAGTACCGTCAGTACAGCCGAACATTGTCGTGTGAAGAAGCTGAAGTCCCGTCAGTACAGCCGAACATTGTCGTGTGAAGAAGCTGAAGTACCGTCAGTACAGTCGAACATTGTCGTGTGAAGAAGCTGAAGTACCGTCAGTACAGCCGAACATTGTCATGTGAAGAAGCTGAAGTACCGTCAGTACAGCCGAACATTGTCGTGTGAAGAAGCTGAAGTACCGTCAGTACAGTTGAACGTTGTCGTGTGAAGAAGCTGAAGTACCGTCAGTACAGTCGAACGTTGTCGTATGAAGAAGCTGAAGTACCGTCAGTACAGTCGAACGTTGTCGTGTGAAGAAGCTGAAGTACCGTCAGTACAGTCGAACGTTGTCGTGTGAAGAAGCTGAAGTACCGTCAGTACAGCCGAACATTGTCGTGTGAAGAAGCTGAAGTACCGTCAGTACAGCCGAACATTGTCGTGTGAAGAAGCTGAAGTCCCGTCAGTACAGCCGAACATTGTCGTGTGAAGAAGCTGAAGTACCGTCAGTACAGCAGAACATTGTCGTGTGAAGAAGCTGAAGTACCGTCAGTACAGCCGAACATTGTCGTGTGAAGAAGCTGAAGTACCGTCAGTACAGACGAACATTGTGATGAAGAAGCTGAAGTACCGTCAGTACAGACGAACATTGTCGTGTGAAGAAGCTGAAGTACAGTCAGTACAGACGAACATTGTGATGAAGAAGCTGAAGTACCCTCAGTACAGTCGAACATTGTCGTGTGAAGAAGCTGAAGGACCGTCAGTACAGTCGAACATTGTCGTGTGAAGAAGCTGAAGTACCGTCAGTACAGCCGAACATTGTCGTGAAGAAGCTGAAGTACCGTCAGTACAGCCGAACATTGTCGTGAAGAAGCTGCTTCCTAACGGAACATGACAGGTGGTTGTGATGGTCCACTTACCTGTGCCACGGACGCCCAGACCGCTGATGAGGAGCAGATAACATACGACGTACGTTCGCAACATGTTGTTACAAGTGATTGTAAATAGTCTGTGGATGAAAGACAGCGGAATGTTAGTAAACAATGTTTAACTTAAGCATGTGAACATTTTTTTTAAATTACACTGACTTGTGCGTGTTATATTAAGTATCAGCTCGCTATTGTCACGAAACTGTGCACACAATACATCGAACTGAACATTATAACAAGCATTGTCAGTAAGGTGACATAATCCCCAACCGCAAATTATCAAATCAAACGTAAAAAGTAATGAAAGTTTAAACTGAAGTTAAATGTCAACAAAAACATGACTAGTCAACCTCTCTTGATATATTGCTCTTTAGTTGTTCAAACACACAAATACTTTCAAGACTGACATTGACCTTGACATGAATACATAGTGTATGAAGTATGCAAAAATGATACAAAAGAAATTGCTTATTGAAAAACATTTAAGGAAAGTCTTGAAAGTATATGAAGTAAATCCAGTGAATTCAGGTTAACATGCTGAAATCTTCAAAGTGTCACAGTGACCTTAAAAATTGTGTGAATGTCACCAAAATTGACTGGGCCCTGCGCCTTCATTAGATGAAGCTTGCTGACTATCTCAACATACAATTTAACGTGCTGAAATATTCAAAGAGTCTTTGTGACCTTGAAAATTAAGTGAAGGGCACCAAAATCGACTAGGCCTTGCACTTTCCCCAGATTAAGCTTGATGTCAAATATGAAGTGAATGGTTCTTGAGATATCTCGTTGACAAGAGAAAAACTTTAAAGTCCCCTGGTGACCTTGAAATGAAGGTCAAGGTCACCAAACCTGACTGGGACCTTTCTTATACTGTGATGAACCTAGGTACCAAATATGAAAAGAATCTAGTCAATGGTTCTTAAGGTATCCCAATTCGTACGGACGGACGGACGGAGCCTAATACTATATGCCCCGCTTCGCTGTAAACGCGCGGCGGGGGATAATTAACTTCTCTGATTGGCATTCTAGAAGTTGAGGAGATGAAGAATGAGGTCTTTTGAATGTCATTAAAGAAGTGATACACACAAGGCAAGGAAGAGAGTTTTTTCTATGGATGTCAACTTCCTTATCATGAAAAACACAACATTTCGGAGTATATCCTCACTCCTTCATTCACCTGATGTAGGGGTAAGGATATACTCCGAAACGTGTATTCCTCATAATAAAGAAGTTGTCAGCCATAAGATACTCTCCTCCTGACGCCTTAATCATCTGTGTAAACAAATATGAACATCATTCTCTACTGGCTGACAATCAACATATGTATATCCTCTCAACTGGCTTCCAATCAATCTACTTAATCCTGTATACCATCTGTGTTTTCAACCTCTTCTATTGCATAAACAACCCATTTTCGCCTCATCCCTCATCTGTTGTATAAACATCACATGTATATAATCACCCAAATTACTTCCCATGTACCACTTGCTTGACAACGACATCAGAATCTATGTCGAAACGTCGCCTATGCAGAATAAATAAGTTGTATATCGATTAACAATGTCCTCATTCTTCATTCCACATTAATTAAATATCGATGACATCTTCATTTTATCACGTTTGATCACGTGAATGTCGCCGATAATGTCCCATATCTTCCTTCGCCATAAAGTGGGCTTGGCGGAAATTGTTCGAAAGCCCAGGACCCGGTTGTATCAAACTTTAATGACGTATTTACATGCCATTAAACGTTCATTTCGTAATGTATCATTAAATTCTGTTGTACTAACGTTTTAATGACGTCGTGTTGTCATTGGAGTGTCATTAACTTAATGAAGGTCCTAGGGTATCATTAGAGCGTCATTAAACTTACTGAAAATGAGTGAGTGGGTGAGTGAGTTTAGTTTTACGGCGCACTCAGCAATATTCCAGCTATATGGCGGCGGTCTGTAAATAATCAAGTCTGGACCAGGCAATTCAGTGATCAACAGCATGAGCATCGATCTGCACAATTGGGAACCGATGACATGTGTCAACCAAGTCAGCGAGCCTGACCACTCGATCCCGTTAGTCGCCTTTTACGACAAGCATAGTCGCCTTTTATGACAAGAATGGGTTGCTGAAGACCTATTCTACCCCGGATCTTCACGGGTCAAACTTACTGGAAAAGTGAACGTTGCGCCAGAATTTCGTTTGCGCCGCACTGGATCTACCTACAGCTATAAAATTACACAGAAATCTAGAGTATTAAATGTCCTATCTCATGGTATAAACTCGGTTTGAAAAGTAGACACTGCTAAATGTTACTCCTAATTTTGTTATGCGTTAAAAACAGTAAATTTCTCTGCTTTTTATCGTGCACTGATAAAAGTACTGTGCTACTATATTTTCAATTTGGCATCTTTACGGAAAGTGTGAGCGAACAAAATTCTGCCTGATACCTGAATGACATAGGTATGTATTAAATTAGTTTGTGTTCTTGTATATAACGTTATACACTCAATCTTGTATATGTGTTGAAATGGATTTTCCCCTATCACGTCAAATGGCTACATAAAGGTCATGTATGTTTATAAAGATAAGGGGGCATCATTCCGCTATGGTAATGCAAAATCATCGCTACTGTGCAAGTCTAATGGCAGTACCAGATCAGAGATGTACACTTTTTATATTGAAAACTAATGAAGAGTGATTTTTTCATGATAAATAGAATCTCTCCCTCGTGTCTTCTGATATCAAATGCAGGTATATCAACACTCGTTTATAAAAGTAAAAATATCCTCGACATGCCTCGGATATTTGTGACTTTATCAACTTGTGGTGATATATTTGATAATCAAAGACACTCGGGTGAGATTCTCTATACATGTGTATTAAACGAGTAAGTTGAAGTTTAATCATCAGTCAATTACAAAATGAAAATGCACAAAATAAACTCTAGATTTAGACAAGACATTAATGTCATAAAAAATGTAAGCTCTGGCTTATCTTTAATACCGAAGCTGAAAATGTTACAATTGTATCTAGATAATCTGAAATGATAAAAATATATTTGTAGAAGCTATATGCAAACTTAAATGCAACAATCAATAATCGATGGCGTTATTTTTTAAAATGGAAAAACAATTACATAACATTCAGTATGTAAAATGAAAGTTCAATCGTGATATTAAGAGATTATTTTAAAACTCATAAAATGAATATGAATAAGTAAAATCTAAAATATATAAATTACTTGTTTCAAATGTGGTATTTACCAGAAAAAAGTGGCAATTACCAGAAAAAAGTGGTAGTTACCAATTTTAAAACAGAAAATTCAAAAAACCATTTTGACCCCTCTGGGCTTTCGTACGAAAATATAGTGTCCTTATTCACAACAAATTCTCGCCAAGTGATCTGAGTTGCAATGACTTGGTATGGATTAAGGATATAATGTATCATTAGGGTTTAAGGTTGACATTAGTTAATGAAGCAATGATACAACTGGATCCAGTACAATAACTAAGAAAAACTAGACGGCCAGTTTTGATAAGAAACTGACTGGTAAGGAATGAATGACTTACCCCAACAGTCTTCTGCGTGTGTTGTGAAGCGCTCGGCTTTTATATGGACGTAAGCTCGTCAGTCAATATATGAGCTACGTGGCATCACGTGGAACGTTCCTAAAGGGGCGTGTATCTACCAGAAACCGTTCTACTTTCACTTTCGTTTCTGGAACTATCTTTGGTCTGGTGACGTTATTAGTCATAGAATAGCACGTGACCCTCACAGCTGTATGTACATTATTTTTGTGTCTTGGTGTCACTAAGAGAGTACATGGGTTTGATGTGGAACATTGTTTCTAACACATGCATGATAACCCTATACTTGATGCTATGAAAGCTAACTTATAGCCGGATGTAACCTTAACCTTATTTGTCAATATAACTCGTGTCACAGGTTACATGTAACACAATACACACGCCCTGTTGGGTTATTTACCTGTTGCTGCAAGCATTTACCTGTTGCTGCAAGCATTTACCTGTTGCTGAAAGCATTTACCTGTTGCTGCAAGCATTTAGATGTGGCTAAACATTGCATTACACAAGTCTATGAACAACTGAACAGAAAATCAGCTAAGTTAGGATTTGTTCCACTTCAATATCCATGTCTTTAAATACCCAATCAGATCTCTTCCACACCCCAGTTAAGAAATATATGGAAGGGGCTTGTGCTGATAAGGGGCTTGTGTTGGTTATAATGTTGTCAAAATTGTTGCAAAAACAGTCAATATATGTTTATAGGTTTATGGACAAGAAGTCGACCTTTTGAAATTTCGCTATGGACATGAAGTCGACCCCCGGTAAACTTTGATGTTGAAGGCGTTGCTAGAGTCACGCTAATCCGCTAGTAGGTGTTGTTTTAAGATTTTCCATAACCGGAGCATCGCGTAAGGCGTGAACATAGTTCACTCAACATGTCATCAATGTTATCATACATATGAGAGTGAATTTCACAATGATGAACATATTTAAGGAAGGAACACGCGGTAGATTGCATTCAATTTCGAAATGGCAAATACACAGTTACATCTGGTGGTGGAAGATACCTGTGTGTTGGTGGATTTATGAGTGAAGCGAAACTGGATATCCTGGAAGTGCACAGACAAGAAGTGTAATTTCACTGCGTCAACTGTCAGTGACATTGTGACGATGATGAAAGGTGACCATGCTCATCCCCGTGTCCAAGTAGACATAACGGTAAGCATCTTGTCAATGCCTGATATCAATCTGTTACTAAGGAACATATAAAAGTAAAATAGATATATCAAATCTGAATAATGTACGTGACCATGTTTTGCATATCGTTTAATAGATTTTGTTAACAATTCTTACAATTTATACATATATATTTATGTGTATATAGCAGTAGAGAGGTGTAACGTGGTCTTTGTAAAATAATGTGTAAAAGGAAATAATAAATTTACTTTGACTATCTTTCAGATGAACCAGTTTGCAAATGGTGCATCTCACCTACTTCATGTTGGATGATTTTGTATAAGAAATAAAATGGACGAAATACAGTACTTTTCTCCTGTTGTCTGTGCTCTCAACCGCATAATTGGTATTATCGCCTTGTGAAAACACTGGATTATTTCTTTGTCTTTTCTAATCCCCTGTTAATTGGTATAAGGTCAAATGGACAGGACGTCGACCTTTTTTCTTAACTGAACCGTGACATTTCACCCAAGGGTCGACGTCCTGTGCAGACACCGTTCTATAAGTACATTGGATAACGCATCTGGTTTTATTATAATGGACGGGCTGACTTTACGGAATCGAATTCTTATGCTGTATCACGTTCGGTGGGCATTAAATTTGGATACATTACCACTGGGACTCATAGATTAATTGTTTTGAAAAAGAAATGAAAAGATTGAGAAGTTTTATTTGGTCGGCTACTCATTCACAGCGTGCAACTTTCGTCGAGAATAAACCACAAAATATATATGCTGGAGTCGGGCGTGTCTGGGCTGAGGCTCGCCAACGTTATTGATAAATTAGTTACATACTGTATTAGCAATGTCGATACAGTTGTCATTGTCGCCATCTGTGACTATATGCATAGTTCCGACCGACGCTACGAAGCCACGCTGGGTCCTGCTGCTATGTCCCCCAAGTTTTACACCTCACTGCTGCCCCTGTCAATAATCCATCTGACTCATACTACAATTATGAAAATTCCCACGATGTGCTCAGTGTCTTGATAGTGCGTGACTTATGACATGCTCAATTCCCAAAATTCCTTCAGCTGTACTTTACTGTAATCCAGAATATACATATGAGCTGAATAGCTCCCTGAAACACTGAATAGCTCCCTGAAACACTGAATAGCTCCCTGAATACCTGAATAGCTCCCTGAAACGATGAATAGCTCACTGCTGCTTCGCGTAACAGATTTTCACCAACCTAGTATTGATCCAGAGGCGTAAACATACCACATGCTGGAATTGATCATTTCTAAAAGGCATTGTATATTCACATTAAATTTCATAGGAAACTGTCTAGACTTGCATTTCAATATGTCTACATAGCTGACAATTTCACATCCGGGTACTACATCTGCATGATCGTACTGCCACGGGTGAGAGCACAGAAGCCAGGGTGCCTGGACTTCGGAGTAGAGGATTATATGTTATTTAATTGTCTATGTTATACATGATGTGTTTACTCTCATTGCAGATCTCCATCATTTATGATCGACCGTGAATAAACAGTCATCTGTAAAAAGTATTGCCTACTTATTTATGATGGAGATCTTTCACCTCTGCAACTTGGTACATCAGAGATTCTAACCTACAGTTTCAAGACACAAACATGCCAGTCGTTGGATGCCCTATTCCGTCATGCGACTTCGTGACAGAAGACCTTGATTCTGTGGTGGTAGCAGCACTCTTAACAGCCCATGCAACAGTCCACACTACAGGACCTGCCGTCTCTGCCAAAGTAGAAAAAGTGAAACGACCAAGCATATCATCTGCCGGAACAAGCGAAGATTGGTCATACTTTAAATCCAGATGGAAAGACTATGTCCAGGCGACCAAGGTCACAGGGAAGGAAGCTTCTTGAATGCTGTGACGAGACACTGCGCAGAGATCTCACACGTTCGGCTGGCGGATCCCTCACAGAAAAATCCGATGAAGATGTCCTGAAGGCCATTAGACTCCTTGCTGTCAGAGAGGAGAACACCATGGTAGCTCGCGTTACCCTCCACAGCATGACTCAGGATCGAGATGAAACTGTTCGCTCCTTCGGTGCAAGGCTAAGAGGTCAGGCTGGCGTCTGCAAATTCACCATTGCATGTCCAGGGTGCTATCAGGAGGTGAACTACACGGAGACAATCCTACGCGATGTACTCACCCGTGGACTAAATGACCCTGAAATCCAGTTAGATCTCCTTGGAGACAAGAACCAAGACATGAATCTCGAACAGGTGTTTCAATTTGTGGAAGCCAAGGAATCAGGCAAAAGCTCGGCATCTCGACTTTTGGACTCCCAGTCTGTGGAAGCTGTTAGCAGTGGTTACCGAAGAAACAAGAACACAGCTGTTAATTCATCCAAGAAACTGGATACGTCCGAGTCATGCTTCTACTGTGGAAGAAAAGGGGCATGGAAAAAGTGCATCCCTGAAAATCAGGAAAAAAACACTGTCCTGCCTTCTGTCGCATGTGTTCATCCTGTAACCGCAACAATCACTTTGACACAGTGTGCCAGAGCAAAGTGAAACTGAGAGCTGAGAAGCCTCCACGGTGCGGTCTTTGACATGCTCTGCTCACTCACTGACATCAGCTGGCGCCAAGGAAAGAAGACACTTCACCTTGATCACCACCTATATGATCAGCTGATGGACACATGGACTAAACAAGCCTCCCGGCCCCAGCCCTCCCTCAACCTATCGATGGCTGTCCATGCAGAAGACTATGACAGACTAGGCTTTGGCTCAATGTTATCCTCAAGACCAAGAAGAGCCTCTGTTGTCGTCATGGCAGACACAGGTTGTCAGAGCTGCCTTGCTGGCATTAAGATCGCACACAAACTTGGACTGAAAACACAGAATCTCATTCCGGTGACTCTCAAGATGCGTGCTGCCAATAACAGGGGTATCAATATCCTTGGTGCCCTCATCACACGGCTGTATGGCAGGAGCCCAACAGGGAAAACAATTGAAACAAGACAGGTGGTCTATATCACAGACAACTCTGACAAGTTCTTCCTCAGTCGTGAGGCTTGTATCTCACTGGGGATGATCACAGGAAATTTTCCCACAATTGGGGAAGTGCCCAGAAATGACAGCTTCAATGATGATTCTACACTAAGCGATGCTTCAGAGATAAATGATGTGAAATGTGACTGCCCAAAGCGTGGACCACCTCCTAAATTGCCAACCAAACTACCTTTCCCCCGCAACAGAAGAGAACCGCGGTAAACTGGAAGAATACCTACTTGACCTCTATAAGTCCAGCACATTCAACATCTCCCTAGCACCAACCTCTCCCCCCTCATTGATGGACCTCCCATGAAACTGATGGTCGATCTGGTAGCCCAGCCTGTTGCTCACCACACTCCTGTCCCTGTCCCACTTCACTGGCAGAAAGACGTCAAAGCCGGACTAGACCAGGATGTCAGACTAGGTGTGCTGGAGCCAGTGCCAATTGGAGAAACGGTTACATGGTGCCACAGAATGGTCGTCTGTCCAAAGAAGAATGGCAAGCCGCGACGCACTGTTGACTTTCAGGCTCTCAATGCCCATGCCATTAGAGAGACACATCACACACAATCCCCCTTCCACCAAGCCAGATCAGTGCCACAGAATAAGAAGAAATCTGTCTTCGATGCATGGAATGGCTACCACAGTGTCCCCATTCGAGATGAGGATAAACACCTTACCACATTTATCACACCATGGGGCCGATATAGATATCGCACTGCTCCACAAGGATATATCGCCTCTGGAGATGGATACACAAGACGCTTTGACGAGATTGTGTCTGATGTGCCAAACAAAACCAAGTGTGTGGATGACGCACTCCTGT